ACTTTTCCCCGCCTCCCCACCTCAGCCCTTACCCGCCTTTCTCTCCTCCCCTTGCTCCCCTGCTGCTCGCCCGCCTCCCCCCTACTTCCCTCTCCCGCTCTCCCCGCCGTCTTCCCCCTCTCCCCGCGTTTCCTGCCTCGCCTCACCTCGCCTCGCCCCGCCTCACCTCGCCCCGCCTCGCCCATTCTCGCCTCGACCCGCCTTGTCGCCTAGCCTCGTGTAGCCCGCTCCACCCCTCCTCGCCTCTCCCTACCTCTCCCCGCCTCATCTCGCCCCGCTCTCTGTCACGCGCCCGCCCACACCGCGTCATCTCGCCCCGGGGCGCGGCCGCTGTTTTCTGCCTCTAGTGTCGAGACTTCGCTGAGACGACGACCGCCCGCCGTTTCCGCCGCCACCCTTCGCGCAGCCCCCAGCGCCTTCCCTTTCGCCGGCGGGGCATTGTTGTTGCGAGCGGCCTCGAAACGGGTTCAACTCCATGTCAATTAAATATACGAAGGGCGTAGAAAGTTGGGTCGGCGACGGAATAAAAGAACTACGTAAGTTACTTTTCACACAACATGAGACACGTTTTATTCATGTAGTTATAACGCCAAACCCAGTAGTTTAGCTTTAGTAGTAGAGCTTAAAGACATCTCCTTTCTTGGAGTGTACCAGTGACTGGGAGATCGCGGGTTCGATTATGACAAGAGATCAGACATGAGAGAAGTCGAATCGCTCGCAGATACGAAACGAATCCGTTGGGCGACCGTGATTTCCTTTATAATTTTCAGGCGAATGTCGGAGCATCATCCCAGAATACGGGTCATGGACCGCGGGCAATCCTCCTTTTCTTATACAGTGCTGTGGTTCAGACCTTACACGATGACAGCTAGCTGAGAACACTGAGCAGGGCACTGACTGATATTGTGTAAACACCTACAGACAGCGCAAAATATATTTTATACGATAACGTATTGCACTCTTTCGCTTGCTGGGTGCGCTTCAAGTTTGGGGAGAGAACAATGGAGAGTAGATGCACAACTATCGCCGTGGAATCGTGCAGTTAGAACCAAAATAATTGGACCATCCCCTAACCTCGTGTGACCGGTACATCCCATTGATTAAAAAAATATCTAGCGTAATTAATTAGATAAATATAAACATCGGGGATCCGGATAAAGGTGACACACTGCGAGTCCTCGAAGGCACTAAGTATGTCATGGGGTTATAATAGATTTTCTTAAATCTGCCACGTGACTCTAGTTCTCATTGTTATAGTAACAATTTAAGACATAAATTAGTTTTTTACACATTAATTGTAATTGTTAAATATTACTGTAAAACTCCCGGCCTCTGGTTTTCAAGTGTTGCTACTATTATGGATGGAAATTTATTCAGCCATTCATTCAGCATTCGCAATACATTCAGCCTTTACCATCATGTTCACGCCCCAACTAGTCAGCCAATGGTCGAAATATTTAACAGTTTAACTCATAACGATTAAAACAAAATTTAGAGTTCATTCAGTTAACATTTCTTAATTTTAACATCGGACTAAAATATGTGAAGAAAAATAAACGTCTTTCGGACGTATCGTGTAAATAGTATGCAGAGCTCCTAAGCTTAAAAGACATATTCCAGGTTGTTTTTCAGTTCGTTCCTACTTAGTAATGACGACATTATTCCTATGAACGTATGTTTTTTTACCAAACCATTAAAGAAATACGACGTTTTTATTGTCTTAAAAAGATGTACATTTAGTAAAAAGCTCTTAAACACACTTTTCACTGTTGTGGAATACGCCTTTCAGACTTAGAAAAGTATTATAGTATACCAAAGGTATGTTTCCGCCAAAATTGCTCATGTTGAAATTAAGATTGGATCAAGATATGCGAAGGAAGGAGAGTTAAGTTTTGCAATGTGAACTTTTTAATTGTGGGTTACTTACTACCACTATAACGATTGAAACAATCAATGGATTATGTTCTGGACTGACTATGAATTATGGACTGTCTGAAACAAGCCCTACTGCAATACTGAAACATCATTGTGGTGGACACCAACATGGAAACATATTCAATAATGTATCGTCAAATGTATACTTGATTCATATTTAGGCATCTTTTAATTTGTCAATCAATTTTGTCCTCAATTGGATGATGAACTTGTAAGAAATAAAATAATAAGTTACAAGTAAATATATATTATATAAATGAATTAAACTACATGTAATCCACATCGATACCACAAAAAGTTGTGCAGGAATTGTCACGAAATGTTTACAAGCCTCTTCTTCAGCAACGTCGTTCCAAAGTTTGTTAATTATTAATACAACACAAATGGCAAAAATAAATAATTGATATAATATGTTGGTATAGGACGATCATTATTGTTCTCCTACAGTTAAGAGCAGACCAGTTCCTAATATATTCCGCCACATGCACTGCCGCTGAACTGGTGCCTAATTGTTCGCTGGAGGACAGTAGCAGAGCGTAAGTTAAAATTTTTTAACCTGATGGTAGTGTACTGTACTAAAACGAAATGAAAGAAAATTACACTATTTTATTAAAATTCGAACTACTAATTTTATTAAACATAATTATCTTCAACACAGTGGTTTATATAAAATTGATCTTTCTCCTTTTCCACAAGGATTGGATATGAAGAAAACCCGCGCAGCACCGGTTATTTTGCAAGTAAAATAATAAAACCAATTAAAATTGAATAATAAAAAGTTACACGACATGCCCTGACGTCTGTGACAGCGATAATGACAATGACGCTAGCGACAGTATGCAGTTACATTCAGGCAAGTGGCAGGGGCAGTGAATCCACTGATGATCCAATAACGAGACCAAATTGCGCGCTTATCGACCGCTTCTCATGCTAATCGCTTCGCTTTCATTGCCACTTTAATTGCCCTCACTGCGTTACACCACGGCAGCCGGCGCATTCAAATCATTTCGCAATGGGGATGCGCTAAAGTGCATTTGCACTACGATTAGATTAAAGTAGAATTTCTAGTTCAAACGACAAAATGGCATGTTCAGCGATATCGATACAGTAGCACTGAAGTCATTGACGAGCTCAAACATTATATATTTAACTCTGATACATGCAATGTACTTATTTACAATGTTCGCTGTAAGTAATTATTTATTAGTTTAATTGAATAAAGTAAAACGTAAGAAAAAGGAACTTTTGTCTACCGCAATTGGATGTTTGCAAAGTTAGAGTAAATAGCTACCTGCTGGGCGACCTCAGACCCAGCATTTTCGCCAACTCTTAAGCATATCTTACCGGGAGGTCCTAGGGTTTGAATCTCGACGGAGGTGGATTTTCGACACTCGCTACATAGCGAGGTGAGATTAAGTCGCTCTCAGGAGGAGAATGATAGCTGTTGGATGCTCTGATCCGCAATTTCCTTTGGTTTCTCCGATGAATACAAAGTGAATGTTGGTGCAGACAAACGGACCACGGACCGCGCGCGATGGTTCCTTCCTCATCCATCTCCTCTCCTTTCCCCTCATTGTTGTGCGGTGCCCCGCTGGTGGGAGATACCTGGTTGGGGTATGCCGACTAGAAATTGCCGCCTGATCTCATCTTCTAGAGGGGCAGGAACACGGCCACTTACATTCACTATGCTAATGGGACTAATAACCATACTTGATCTGCCCGCAAACATCTCTCAATCATAAATAGCTGAAGAATGGAAATGGTTTTTCAATACAGGAATTATTTTCATGGAAACGGATGTGAACTACGAGTAATAGTCAGTGCATAATTGCTAGGCAAGTTGAAGAGAATGAGGCTCCCTTACGTACTTCAAGTAAGGATAATTTTAATATATTTTCGATTGGATGAGTTCATTATACAAAATGGATAAGATGTGGTAGGTGTGTCAGAATAAATGTTAAAACTTCTAGAACACATAGAAATGTCGAAAACGATCATGTACTGAGAAATTTCATTAAAACATGTTACACATGAGTCAGTGTCTTCTGATTTCTTGGCGCTTCTTATGCACGGGTGTTCGGCAGATCTCGTTTTAATGCGGTCAAGGAGATTCCATGTTCCCACCGAATATCTGTACATACAACCAGCGACAAAATTCATATGCATAAATGTGTAATTTCGTTAGAAGCCATATCCCTTTGCTTAGCCAAAGAAAAATAGATATCATGTTGAAACTTTCTCCGTGTCATAGAGTTTTGTAATATTTGTTCTGTCACTTTTTAGAACTGTCATATACAAGTAATTTACAAGATAATAAGGTATATATATAGAATTGTATATCTTTAGTTATGAGATATAAGCAAAGACATAAAATACAGACATACGTGACCACCTTCCCTCTGTTCACACCGTAGGCCAGAAGACTTAATGCCCAACTTCTTCAAACTCAACTTTCACTTTTTTCTTATATTTTGAAAACGTTTATTGTAAAGAAAATCTTACTTTATTCAAAACGAAAGATGACAATATTTACTATGACACTTTTTAATATTTTCTGTGTCTATAACGTTTGAGTCATTTACCAGCGAACACCGAACATTTTGGAAAAGCAATTTATTGCGTGACATTTTTTAGAACGTTTGTCTTCAAGCACTTCGGCCCTCAGTTTAACAGCAATATTTTGATAGAATCATTTGTAGAGAATTAAATTTTCTTTAAAATGAGTTGTAACTTGCTACACTACCTTCATGCGATAGAAAGTTATAGAACTGAAAATTTGTGTACAATTATAATTTAATGTTTTGCTTTTCCAATCACAAAAGCAAGATTTCGGGATATTTACTACACATTGCGCCTTTATTTTACATTCAAACAAAACAAAAAAAAATACTTGTTATATCGCAAGAATAAATCTCCTATGATCGTGTACTTCAATTTCTCAAAGGAGATATTAAAAGGCTGGAAAACGACGCACCTTATTTCATTTTCAATTGTTCCCGCTAGACATTTTCTATTGAAAAATGAGTAAATCATTATTTTTGCATACACTCTTCCTGAAACGTAGGTCATCTAACCCGAGCCCGTAGATACAACAAAACAGTTGATTGGCAGCGCAGCAAAGTTTCAGAACCTGCACATCTCCCATTTCCAACAGCAACGAGCACTGCCCCTGTTCTCGGCGTAGGCGCAGAGAGACAAAAACGGACGAGGGGCTCGTAGCCTGATAGGCCGATGCTGCTCCACGCGGAGGGAGTGGCGCCCCGCCCGAGGGGCTGACAAAACACGCGCGGCAAACAAAACACGCGCGCCCGCGGGCTGCCGCTTGCCCACCTGACCTGCACGTCAACCCCCGCACCCCGGCTCCTCCCGGGCCCCGGGAACACGCTGGGAATTGTCGCAGGCGGCGACTATTCGCAAATCTTTGCTTCGCACGTGCGTCGTTTTAATGACGTGTCCGTCTTTGGTTTATATTTATCCTAGTGCTATTATGCTCTTTATATTTGAAAATTACAATTATTGCGCGAAAAATGTCGCGAAAACTATTAATATTTTGGAAAACATTATTCGTGATAAAAAATATGGTATTGAATAACACATTTCCTTTAGAAGAAATATTATGAATATAAAAATATATTCAATATTATATTGATAGGAACATATAACAAGAAATTAAAATATAAAATATATTCAAATTTAAAAAATTCAGATAATTTAACGAAAATTGAATCTGTACTATCTTTAAAAGGCTCGTGGCTACATCTTGGTCAGATTGTTCACTGTCCACTACACGGCCCCTGGATTTATTTCCGGTGAGGCAAGATTATCGTGTGCGTTTTTCTAGCAAAGTCGCAGTATATGTTGCTGAGTGACGATGGAAAAATTCATTTCTCAGGTTAAGAAGACCGCAATACGTCGTGGGGATGTCTACGTGCAAACGACAGTACCCCCTTAACCCATGGCCGCGAGGCAGGGACATCGCCCGTAGGCCTTAGCCCGTTCACGGGCTGTCACGCTAAGTACATACATACAGACGTATCATTTTAGAAGCGTTGTTAGTATTAATCTATCCGATAAAGAAATTAAACCAAAAATTTTTAGCCACTTGTTATGAAAAAAAGTAAAAAAAATGTCCCTGATGACATGTACAAAAATATCCCTGAAAATTAAAATATTCGTTTCAAATTCAAAAGGCAATATCAATCAGATTCATCGTAGAATACCAATTTTGGTGAAAGTTTTACTTCCAGTTCAGCCTCTAGCATTGGACGGACGGACGAGTGGACAGACAAATTGTCGTCAAACAATTTTTCAGCATCAAAAAACAACAACAATAATTATAATTTCACCCAAAAAGTCAGTTGTCATCCTTTACATCCGAAGTTCCTTAATTGTGAAAAATAAACAAAAGGAGGGTACATTTAACATTTTCGTCCGGGGTGCCATATTAGGGACAATCGCAGGCATAACCCTTAAGCGATAGAGTAAACTCAGGAAAAAACACACAATCAGGATGGGGGCTTAAGCCAAACATTTTGACACCAAGTGGGCTGCAACCCTTTAACGCGCGTCGCTTCTCGACACATGTGTTGACGAGGGGTTTTTCGCCCTGCTGCGACCTGGTGCGCTCTCTGCTTTTTATCCGGCGCTCACGTTGTTTATTAACCCTCTCTCACTTTTAAAGAGAAGTTCATTTAAAGGGATTACTTTTATACATCCACTACCACACTTGCTACGGGGTCATACAAAAAGTAATGCCTCCCATTTTTCTCTGCTTAAATAAAATTAAATGAAAAATATAAATTTGGCACTATTTCTCAAACCTTGTTGTACAAATCGACCGCAGAGGTAACTTTCTGCATCGATATACGGCAGTACAACAGTCGCTTGCAAATTGGCCGACATCGATGTTCGTAAGAGACAGCGTGGTGTGATTGAATTCTTGAATGAAGGAGGTGAAATACCCATTCACATTCAGGGAAGACCGGTGACGCGTCAACTTTGTCAGAACTTTTTAATGATAGATTCGTCGCCGTAACGAAGCTGAAGGGCAAACACTACTGCTGACGAAAAGAGAAATGGCAGGTCAGTGACTAAAGATGAATTGTGTTTCCCTCCGTTCATCTGGAGTCACCCAGTGGTCATCCCGAATGATGTCACCGACGAGCTAAATGTTGCAGGGAGTGGTTATACACACCGATCTGCCGCTTTCAATTCAATTTCAATTCTACCTTCATTGTGTTATTTTTGGTTGGTCACGGTTGAAAATTGTCACTTTATGCCTCTTTCAAAACGTTTTTCAACACTTCTCGCCCTCCACGCAACAAAGCGGCCAAAGCCTGGTCTGGCTTTTTTGAACGAAGTGCCTATGTTATGGTCCCGTAGTATGTGACGCAAACTGGTGCTGCACAAAACGAGCAAAAATGGTGCATCAGAGAAACTCACCCATCTCTTTTCACCGTGGATAAGACCCATGTATTATCTAAAAATGATAAAAAAATTTAACAATTGTTTTAGAACTATGAGAACATTAAAGAGATACCAAGGAAATCTAGCGATACAAGTAAAGATTATTTGAAACCACGGCGTAATTAAAATCTTTGACTATTCATTAATTGTAGTGCACATAACGTTTTGTATTGATATGCCCGAATTTTCACTCTGTAAACTTTAGCGTGAGAGTAATGTCTGGTTATATGTATGTTAAATTATGAAGAGTAACGATCGTATGTGTTGTTTGAAGGTTTTTGCTCCAAAGAGCCTTCATTTTTTTTTTTTTTTGGTTTTTCATTATCCATTCTGCAGTGCTGACGCCTTGTGCATTATGTATGAGACATCCAATATATTCAGATTCGTTAAATATATTATCATTTTGCAGCGTCCGAGTTTTCCGTGAGAGAAGGTTTTGGCGCTTGAAGGAAGGGAAATACTTTGCCTCATTAAAAATTGCATAGTTTCCTAAAATTCGTACATATTTAATTCCTGTAATGCACGTCACGCGTATTTATATTTGAAAGCGTTCTTAGACAAACTTTCGAGAAATAAAATGAAAATGTTGACATTATTTGCTAATTCGACATATTTACCTACACTCACGTTCAACTTCATACACTTTTCTCCTCAGCTTCGATTATTGTCTATGTGGAGTTGTAAAACGTTATTATGAATATCACGTTATTACTTCGACTAGGATTAGTAGTACGTTATAGTTTAATATTCTTACATGTACTCAAGTATATTAAAGACTGATTAAAAAATATTTTTGAGCATTCATGCTTGTGTGATGTCGTGGGTACTCACAGCGAACACAGACACTTACTTTAACGCTTCAGCGTAGACCTTTCTTATACACTTATTTAAATGCAAATAAAACAAACATATATAGTTAAATAATTTACAGTTCCCGTAGGCTTCCGTGGCTCGAGTTCATGGCTTCTAGGCTGTCATCCGGACGACGCGGCTTCACCCGGACAGCCTAGAAGTCATTATCTACACTTCACTCACTAGCTCTGATAGACCTACTATCCCCTGATCCAAAACCGAATGATGATCGGTTTAATTCGTGGAAATCGCCACTCCTAAATTTGAAGCGCGCAAAAAGCAAAGCTTCCGCGACCGGATGTCACACTCGGGCACAAAGTCCTTACAGGCGCATCAACCAAAAGTTTGCATTGATCGCAGGGGCGATCTTAACCGATTGATGATCGGGGCGAGTCGTGGTTCTTAACCACTCCTCACCTCGGAGCACGCACACAGCATCTCTCTCTCTCTCGTGACCAAAGTCACACATGGAATACAAAGTCCCCAAAGGCGCGTGTAGACGTGTCTTGCATCGCGAGCCCTGCCCGCCGCTGCACCCCCTGGCGCTAGTTTTGTGCACAAGAACGAGGTTCTCACAATTTCTCCAGAACCCACCCGCTGGCTCTGTTCACTTCCTTATATAGCTGCCCCTCACGTGAGATACTACGTCACATCGCCTCCGCAGCTCGCTTATGCTTGCACGCGGCTCCAATGTTTTGGTCTCCGTTCCCTAAGATCGGAGAACCCCAGAGCGCCTCATGTCTCTCTTTGCCACGCGCTCGCTTCACAGAAAGCGTTTCTCTCCCTCTTGTGGCGAGGTGCTTTGCAGTTTCTAAATCCCTTTCTGCCCGTCCCGAAATAGCTACCACGGTTCCATCGCTAGTACGTTACATAAGGAAGAAATCATTAATGCTAGTATTCTATCTCCTATATTAATTTATTGGAAAGTCGTACTTTGTCGTATGCGTACCGTGAAGACGTCGGAGTCATTTGAAATAACTGGAACTGCAACGGAAACAAAATACAGGAGCGACAAGAATTAAAATGGCTCTTGGCTTGGACATTGACAATGATCCCAATAGTATGTACTTGTAAGTTTTCATCAATTTCTACCAAGATTAATTAGCAATTATCGAGAAAAAGTGTGAGATGTGCTGATTTCAACGTAATCGGCTAGTTTTCCACCGCAGAACTTTGTGCATTAGTTACCTAAATTATTATTTCTGAAAATGAAAATATTGAAATAACGAAAATACATTAACATTGTTTTTGTGGTTTTGTTCAGCATTTTTTCTGCTGCAGGTTCCTAGGATTTTAATTAAATTCCATTTTTTTTGTCTTTTGCCTTAAGAGTTTTGTTTGTAAAGTTTCAACTGGAGGTTCCAGGGTTCGAGTCCCGCGGTGGCTATTTTCAACCTTAGCTGCTCGAATTCAGCTATTCCCTGGACCGGGCGGCCGCTCTTATCAGTAGTTTTCAGTGGTTTCCTCGATCAATACCAGGTGAATGACATATCAGTACCTTAATAAACAGGCCACAGACCGCAAGTTGTCTTTCCTTCTTCATCCCTATGTCCTCTTGTCCTACACCTACGTTCACTTGCACCTCATTACCATACATATCGGGAGATAGAACAGAAGCTTTGGTTGATTGATTGATTCATTAGAATTCCGGGCGCGTCACTGCTAATACTAGTTCCGAAAGTGTAGTGTAGTTCCTCTAGGGGTACCGGTGATTTTCCTACACTATATGGTGAGATGCGGCGCTGTCCTACCAGGTGGGTTTTTACCCTAAACAGGTATCTCCCACCTGCATGCACCATTCAAACCATTACAAGTTCAAAGCTCCCGACAGATCTCCCGGCGTGTGTGGTGGTGTGTTGCAGGTACGAGTAGGTGTGTGGAAGTAAGGGGTGAGGATAGTTCGAGGAAGAGGAAGGAAAGTGTGCGGTCCATGGCTCGTTTGTTAGGGGACTGCTCCGGCATTCGCCTGGTGTTGATAGGAGAAACCACGAAAAACTACCGATGAAAGCAGCTGACCTCTAGAATTTTTCGCCAGATAGCAGCTGAATTCGACCTGGCTGGGGTCGAAAGTCCTGCCACCGTCGGCATTCGAACCCTAGGCCCTCCCAATCAGAGGCACTGCAGTGACATCAGTTGATACCATGAGCCAACTCAGTTGGTCGGAGGCTTCGGCTTGCTCTAGCTGCTGCATTTTTTCGCTTTGGGGGATACCTAGAGGAGAAAACCCGTAAGCCGAATGAAGATCAGTTCTATTGATCTAGTAGGGAACGTTGCCATCTCTCGCGATTGAACATGCACCCCCCTACGGGAATAATGACCATAGCAGTTCACTTGCTAGGAGCCATAGAATAATCAATATAACAATCATTTCAGACATATGATATTGTGTTAGAAGACTTACCTACGTTTTGCCAATTTAAAATTAACACATTTCTATTAGATACAATTCAATGTTTAAAATTAAAAAACATTAAAAATATAAATAGGAAACATCCATTAAACACTATTTGAAAATTTAAGTCAATTGGAGATGAAATATATTATTTAGAGGCTAATTACGGTTGTCTCTTGAAAAATTGACATAATCAAATGTATATACTCAGGAAATACTGGTACGATGTATAACACTTACCTCTGAGAGCTGAATGAGTCTTGAGTGTTCCTGCAACATAGAAAAAGCGTGAGTTATTTTATTTTTAAACAGTAGTAATTTCTTTGATGTTTATTTTGGTACTTATTCATCATCAAATTATTTTTCTTTTACACTTTAGTTTCAAATATTGATGAAAATACAATATAGACACGAACATTAATTCATCTCATAACTAATAATTAATAAAAGTTACAATCGTTACACATTTTATTAGCGTTGATAATTTCGTGTCAAGTCGTATTTTCGTGTGGATTTAAAAATTGATCATTACTTCATTAAAACTGGGTGATCAAAGAATTAATGCAGTCTAAGAAACTATAAAATTTATTGCAAAACATCAGCAAAATGAAAGATTGATTTGCATCAGAATCGGCATCATCAGCAAAGTGAAATTATTGCTAAACTCAGGGGTGGTTCTAGAGACAAATTTTTGGAGGGGACGTTCGTAATATTTTCGTCGAATATGTCATATTGCAGTTTTTTTAAAACGTCGCAGGCTACACTAAACTCATTCTGTGATACGATTTTATTCTTTTTAATGATAATCCGAAAATGTGTTTCCTTGAAAGCCTCGTGGCAAGTTAAAATAATTAGTTGGTGAAAAAGTTAAGGAGTGGGGAAATTTCCCTCATTTCCATCACCGTGGATCCGCACCTGATAAACTAAACAATGTTTAATATATGAAAACATTTAATCGATATAACTACGCAGTAACAGTTCTTACTTATTAGACGTGTCTAAAGTTTCTATTACCGAGATGAACATGCAAAGCCCAGCGTATATGACCACGTGATGTTAAATATTATGAATAAAATGTAATATTTTCTAGAGATATATCCCTCGAGGCGTAAAACGTAACGTGCAAACGATGGTTAATTTTAAATCAAACACTGACTTATGACGAGGGTAAATCGCCACTTTCACGGGCAATGCTTTTACAAACTCAAATAGATTTACTAAAATACACACGGGATTTTACTTTTGAGGGTGGTCGAACAGTTTTTACCCTCAGCGTGAAAACGGTCGTTTTAACATTACATTTGTAAACATGGCACAATCTAACGGTGGATTGAAAGTCAACCGCGCAGAAAATGTCCACCAGCTACAAATATGAGAGGTGCGTTGCCCGTTCAGCAGAGGAAGGAAAGCCTTAAATACCCAAGGCTTTTAACACATTTACCTCACAAGGAAGAAACTTTATCTCACGTACAGAAGTACTGTGTAGGTTGATTTTTAAATATTTGTGATTTAGTGATGATAATGATGATTAATTTGAAGTGCAATTTATTTTCTCATTTTATTAAAACATACCATTTAGAAAGATAAAAATTGAGTAAAATGTAAAATTTATAGAATTAAAATAGAAATATAGAATATATATCATACGATGGATTATGAATATAAAAGAAAATTGAAAAGATGAAATAACTGTATTAAAAATATTAATTTTTATATTGCTTTTGGCCTGTTATACTTTTACGCAAGATGAAAGAAATATAGACTAGGTAACAGTACGAAGTAGGATCAGGGTACTTCTTTCTAGATTTTCCAGCTACTGTAAACCTTAATAGAAGTCTTTCAAATATATAACAGACTCTAGAAATCTGTGGTGGTGCAAGTGGAGGACGCTATGTCACTTCATAAATGAAGGATGCGGAGTTTTACATGTTTTGCAAGATTAGATATATTTCAGTGAACGTTACAATTGACTTTCTGTGTAATTTAGTTACTCCTCGTTCCAGGGAAAAATAGAGTAGTATCTAAGCAAAGTCTGTGAAACACATTTTTTAAAATTTAATTACCTTCTCGTTCCATTATTACTTCCTTTTCCTAGGAATTTCATTTAACTAAAATATTCAAAAGCTTACAATTAACTCATATACTCGCCGACGGTAGTTCGGCACCGGATCTCGCCATGCAGCGGGAGAAAGATCACCGCCACCTCCCGAGCATAAGAACATACATTACGCTTACGGGACTAATTACTCTGGTAGTTGACGTGCCTGGAATCGCTAAACAGTCAATCAATCCACGTTGCTAAGCAGCGCGTTCTTGCGTCTCTGCATGGTCCGCTCTTTTCCTGCCCCGAATCGCTCGCTGGTGCAGCGTCACATCTGGCACTCCGCCGAGGAACGCTGCATTTCCTCCCTTCCAAAGCCAACCGGATCGGGGCGCTCCCCAGGCCGTCGCCCCTGAGGCCCTCCGCGCCGCGGCGCGACCAATTCAATTATTTGCGCGCCTTCAGCCGCGCGCGCCCGCGTTTGCTCTCGTAATGAACGCCGCCAGGCGGCGCAGGGTCAAAGCGAAGGGGGGCGGAGCGGACGGGGAAGGGAGGAAGAGGGGAGGGGAGGGGAC